GTGTCCTCCCTAGGCAAAATTGACGTTCTGGACGCGCCGGTGCAGTCCGCTTTGTCATCCGGGGTCGCTCGGACGGCGTCGTCGACAATCGGGTCAAAAACACGTCGAAATTCAAATTTCACATAATTTGGACTCGCGATCGATCGTCTCAAAAGGTTTACTCGAGCCCTCGACGAATAACAGTGCAAGCGATGCGAATCGTGGCGATCGGACGCGTCGACTCTCCGAATTGCGAAGTTTATGCGTGCGAGAGTGTGAATTGTGCAGAAGGTCACCCTAAGGCTCAAAAGATTCTATAGGAATCCCTTTTGGGTTCCTCATGTTGGTTTCATCCTTCTAAGTGTTAGAAGTCGATACCACACACGCGAAACCACAAAAGAGTACAGAAGCGGGTTGAATTCCTAAAACGAGGCGGGTCACATTTCTAAGGTTCTAAGATAGTCGAAGGGAGATACCTAAGGCTAGATCCTAAACCCTAAGCGGAAGACTAGACCTCACTAAAAATGAGGTCAACAGCCATGTTCTTGCATCTCTCTCTGAGGCACTTATTCTTCATTGTTTTCAACAGTTTTTAGTTATCTCCATGTTTTTCCTCAGCATCACATTCTTTTCTTCTCAGTGAATCAAGAAATATGACGGAATGATTGTAAAGTCCAATACTATACTCGGTAGCTTTGCTAATTATAATCATCCATGACTTCGACTGCCATAATGTTGCCATGGTGTTCTAGAGTTTAAACTTCTCACATTGATCAAACAATATCTGTGTTTTCTGAGTTCAATACTTTATCAGTAGATCTTTTAATTATAACCATCTTTTATATATTACACATTCTTTATAGGTTCATATATATATTTTTTGTCTTTATATCTAATTTTGAGTTTTCCTGCTAGTAGTGCTAGATGCGTTTCGTGCCTTATTTACAGGTAAAAGGGCTTACAAAAGAAGAACTTGCTGCACGGAATGATATGGTTATTGCGCTACCTGATAGAATTCAATCAATTCCTGATGGAACTTCGAATGTAACCAAACAAACTGGAGGCTGGACAACTTCTGCTTCTCGCCCTGAAATTAAATTTGACTCTACCTCAGGCAACTTTCTATTGAACTTATTTTATTCTCTATGAAATAATCACTAATTCTAGTCTTTTGACCTTTTGCTATGGAAATTAGAACTTCTTATTGGTAAATTTCTTCCATTATTGCTTTTTCAAGCGGATTTTAGTTCAATTATTTTTTTAGTCTTTATTTCAGTTTGAGTTCAGCTTTTTCTTTTAATGTTTAGTAGTTTAATATCTGAAGCCTATAAATTTCACATTATATTCAGTGGCATATAAACAATTGAATATTAATTTGGTCATCGTAAATGTCATAGCTAGCAGATTGAACTAATTAATTTGTGTACCATCCATCCATGATCCATCTATCAATGAATGTGTTCATAAAACTTACATTTGGTGATTTAGATTTGGAATAGTTACATTTGAATTAATCTTATACGAAGAAACTCTTACAACCATTCTAAAAAGTAGAGCAAACTCATTAACTAACATGATCATCCATGTTTTAATACATATGTTTGTTTGGACTTCCATGAAGTTTCTTGACATGTTATTCGACTCCTGATTATTTATTTTGCTCGTTAGGACTTATGTGCGACTTAAACGGTTGGCTGAATCAGAGGTTGTGTTCCCTAATGGTGATCATGTGGTGGTTGTATGTGCTACCTTGCTTTCATTAGAAATATCTTTAGGTTGTTTAAATTTCTAACAAGTAATCCATGTTCATTTTTCATTTTTCCTCCCAAACAATGCTCAAGTTCTTATTTAAAATCATGGGACATGGAAGTTTTATGGCTTATTTTAGTCCTTTAGCTGGTTGATATTGAGTATGGATATTCTTGAGAGTTTTTTTCTGTTTTTTATCCTTATTTCATAAATTTAATATAAGGTAACTATCTACTTATTAAATTTGAATGTTGATCATTGCAAATTATTTTTATATCATTGATTGACATATATTTTTAGTTGATCATTCAATGCAGAAATTTTAATTTCTTTGATGCAAACTTTTCTTATAGAAAAATTTTATGTGCAAGATTGTGGTGAAATCAAGAAGGCTAAGGCATCCATCAAATTAATTTTGGTGAATTACGTTTGAATTCTTGAGGTGTAGGGCTTGCTTCAATTTGGTCCATATTCTTAAAAACTATATATTTGAGCTTCTAAATCTTTTTGTTACGTCACTTTGGCTTCCAGCTTAGTTCTTGACCATCATACCAACAACCTATAGTCCATTAAAATTAGCCTCTACTTCTAAAAATGACCAATTGGTTAAGCAGTTCACCTCCATATTCACATCATAGCTATTTGGTTTTCAGTATTTCCCCAATAAGCATGAAAAAAAAAAAATCTAAACCATAGATATCCATCAAAGAATTGGATTGTGATACCTTGACACGTCAAAACCATTGGTTTTATCCTTGAAAACCTTGCAAAAGAAAATACATTTGAGGCAGAAAACTTTATCTAATATTCAAGTAGAAAACTTTATCTAATATTCAAGTAGAAAGCTTCAAACAATATAGTAGATTAGAACATAGACATTGTGCAAAATCTTATGAGAGACCGTGTTGATCCTAAAAGAACTTGTTAGGAAAAACAATGTGCTGTACAAATTCCCTAAATAAACACATCTAAAAGCTTCTGTGAAGACATGAGAAGAATAAATATTTGAGGTGAATAGAACTTCCTTGTGCTCGGCAAACACGATGCTTGTGAAGAGCAAGTTGAATAAAGATTTTTTAATGTTTTGCTTCTATTTTTCATTTATTATTTTCTACGATTGGTTAAAATGCGGACTTCAGGATTTTAATATGTTGTAAAATTGCAGTGTGAAGAACTAATGTGATGTATTTTGTCATAATGAAAAATTAAAATTGTATTTTTTTAGTGTTTGGATTTTTTAATTTTAAATGTTTAATCAGGATATTAAAATTTATGCTATTTTTCATTTTGTGATTTAATTTTGAACTTTGAAATGAATTTTTGAAATTTATTTATTAATGATCTAACTTAAGATTTTCAATAATTATTTTTCATTTATGAATTTATCAATTATGTTGGATATGCATATTAGTATTTAACATTCCAGGTCATTTAAGTTATTGCGAAATGAGTTAAATCAAATGCATATGACTGACTGGATTGAAATTTGGAGTTAACAAGAATTGATGTCTAGTTGGCTCAGAATAATATCATTTTGAGTTGAGCCATCTTGACTCAAATACTATTTTGCTTTAGATTCACGTTCAAAATGGGTTATTTGAGTTTGAGTTAAATCCGAGTTGGTGCCAACCTACTTGTGGCTATTATATGTGAAGGGACTTGTATGAATTGGTGTAATTTATAATGATATTGTCATGGACCAACCTATTTAAGAACAAAGTCAGCTTAGGACATCTAATGGATGGTTTCTAGAATTGTGGACTACATTGGAGTCCGAAGTGAAACACACCATAAAACTAGATCTAGATGCAATTTACCTAAGTTTTTTTATCTTCATACTTATCAACAAGGACAAGGCACCGCATATCTATAGAAATTTATGTTTGCTTTCCATTGGATTTGGAATTATTTATTTATTTATTAGATGTTGTGTTTTCTCATTGAGGTTGTGGGCACAATGTTTGTATGCTCTTGTTCATATTAACTTAAATTTGAAATCAAATACGCTTAGCCTCCCTTTTAGTCTTGATGGAAATATATACTATATTAGTCTTTTATCTTGAACTCTTTAAGTCATCAGATTTTCTCATTTTTCATTGCGGTTGTGTTTTTAGACGGATCACCGTTTATGGTGATTTATATTACCATGTTTTGTCATAAACATCCCTTAGGTTCATAATTCATTTAGACATCTCTGCACGTAATTCAATTTTCCTACTTAACAAAGCTCTCGTTCTTGTCAAGTCATTACACTAGGATGTTTTATGGTTTATTATTAGTATTCTACGAAGCATGAACACAAACACAGACACGGGGACACGGACTCGACACGATATGACACGTCGATTGCAAAAAGTAGGACAATATGACATGGACTCATTTTTAAATTTAATAAATTAAAGACATCACAAAACAATAAATGCAATCATTAAGAAAACTTTACTTAGCCAAACAATATCGAGAAACATGATTTGGAACTTCACTTAGTCAAGCGTGAATGTAATATCTAATAAAAAATGTACTTATAAGTGATAAAATAAATACAAGTTGGGATTAATAAAAAATGAAAATCAAATCAAATAATACTTTGGATTGAGAGAGTGAGCTAAACGAAGAAGATGAGTGTTGCTTTTATTTCATCATCTATTACAACTTTATAAAAATTGGAGTCTTCATTTTCTCTCTTACTCCCGTATTGACATATAATACTTTTCACCTTTTCTATTATTGAATCTCACATATCGTAGAGAATCTGGAGATAAGGTTTATCTGTATCAGCCAATCTCAACATGTCATATACAAGTTCTATAAAATTAATAAAATAATTAATTTTATCCCACCACATATTATCGAAGATTTTTTTTCTTCACAAATTTTGCCTTATTTATATTATCTTTACGATACATATTCTACTTGTCACTGATCACCATTATTTGTAGCTTTTGTTTGATTGCTTTGAATCTCCTAAGCATGACTATACTTGATTCAAAACTCGTCTCTGCAATGAACAAGATTTCTGATTTACAAACTCATTAAACATTATTAATCTCATTGAATGATTCTTAACAAAAGTTTTTATAAAATTGACATCTTTTGTAATATCAATTATCCGATTGCATTGCTCATAAAGTGTCTTATTTCTTTCTATATTCTTTGCAATACATATATTCTTCAATGCTAATTTTAATGTATGAATAACATAATGAGTTGAAAAAATATGAGGATATTGAGCCTTAATCAATGCACCTGCAGGTCTGCATACAAGTGCATTATCATTGACTACTTGAACCACTTTATCTGAACATAGGCTCACAATTACTTCTTTAATTTCATTGGAAATGTAAAACTTATTTTTATATGCCCCTTCACAATTAGTAGTTTTTATAAACATTTGATCAGATTCAGTGACGCCTATGAAATTAGTGAGAAGTTTTCTTGGGCCTCTGTCTGACCATCACAAACAATAGAAACTTCTTTCTCATTTAAGTCTCCTTTATAGGCTTAAGCATTCTCTTAATATGTGTTCTCTCTTTTTGAAACAAGGTTGTTCTTAATAAATTATAACCCAAAGGAATTTATTCGGTATTTTGTTGTTGAATATGTGTCATCTCTTTTTGAAACAATGTTGTTCTTAATAAATTATAACCAAAATGAATTTATTCGGTGATTGTTTTGTTGGTTGTATATGAGAACACACTAAAATAATATAGATTTCCTACCAAATGTAATCGAAGAGCCGCAGAATAAAATATTTGAGCAATTTCTTCAAGTACATGATATTTAGCTTGCATATTAAATGTTTTTTCAATATCATTATTGTCCGAATTTTTTTTTTTCTTATGATTATAATCATAACCTTCTGCTCTAAATAAATGTCCACTTGATTGAGAGTTATATAATTGATTAGAATCACTTTGCTCAGAAGAAGGAAGTGAAACCTTCTTAAATGTATCATCCTTTTTTTTCCAGCTTTACCATCAACATTTCATGAATTTGCATCAAAGTTACTTTAGGACATGCTCGAATATCAATGTTAGGTTGTCAAAACAATTGTGCTATAACCTTAGAATATGTTTATTTGAACTTCCCTTGACAAAAAGAACACTAGAATTCTACATTGTCTTCTTCTCCGATTAATCTCGTTTTCTCTAATTTAGTGCTTTGTCTCGTCTTCTATGGGATTGTTCGAGTCACTTGTAGTAGTCATTATTATATTAATTCAATTATAAAAAGTAAAGACATTTAAAATTCATATATATATATATATAAGAAAGCCCAAGGGCTAATATATTAAAGAGAAAATGATACAGATAGATTGTATGAGTGAGCTCAAAAGTAGACACCCAACCCACACAGTACAAAACA